CTATTGGGAGAACTACCACTAGTAGAGGAGGTGACATACTTATATGTAATTGATACTTCAGTGAGAGTTGTGCTGAGACAGAATTCATACGAAAGGGTTTGGGGGCTCAGAGTGAGAGAAAAAAACCCCTAAATGCCTGGTCTGCATCTATCCATCCTTCCACCACACACCCAACAATTCACCCATCTACCTACCCATCTAACCATCCATCCATCCATCCATCCACCCACCCCTCCCTCCACTCACCTACTCATCTTTCCATCCACTCATCTTTCTACTCACCTACTCATCTGCCCACCTATCCATCTATCCATCTGTCCATCCATTCGCCTTTCTACCCAATTATCCACCCATCTATCCATCCATCCATCCATCCACAGGTCCATTCATCCATTCATCGATCCAACCACCTACCTATCCACCGATGCATCGACTCACCCTTCCATCCACTCACCCCTCCATCCACCCATCCCTCCATTCACCCACCTACTATTCCATTCACTTACTTATCCATCTACTCACCTATGTATCCTTTCATCCATCCATTTATCTATTCACTCATCATTCATCTATCCACCTAACCATCCATCTCTCCATCCATCCATTCATTCATCCTTCCATCCATCTACCTATATGTCCATCTACCCACCTGTCTACCATCCATCCACCCATTTACTCATTCATCCACCCATTCACACACTCATCCACCCATTCACACACTCATAAATCCATCCACTTAACCATCCATCCACCTATCCATCTGTCCACTCACCCATCTGTATATCCACCCATCTGTCAATTCAACTACACTCCCAACCACCTATTCTTCCAAGCCAACTACCTACCTATTCACTTACCCATCCGCCCACTCATCAATGTACACAACTGTCTATCCATCCACCCACCTGTCTACTCACCCATCCATCTACCCATCCATCTATTCATTTACCCACCCACCCATCCATCTACCCATCCACCCACCCACCCCTCTGTCTTCCATGCATCCATCTGCTCATACACCCATCCATTCACCCATTCACCTACATGTTCATTCATTCATTCTTCCAATGTGTTCTGAACATTAGGTCTTCACCAAGTACTAGACGTTCCGCCACAGGAGGGCTGTTACCACGTTGACCTCACAGGCTCAGTCTCAATAAGACAGATATTATCCCAGATTTGAGGCTTTTCAATCTACTTGCAAGAAAAGGGGGTGTCATAGTTTGAGTTTCCCAGAGGTAGACTATTATGAGCTGAATTATGCCCACCCTCAATGCATATGTTGAAACCATAGTACCTCCAATGATGACTGAGTTGGAGACAGGGTCTTTCAAGAGGTCAGTAGGTTAAAATGAAGCAACTAGGGTGGACCCTAATCCAATATGACCGGTGTCCTTATAAAAAGTGGAGATTTGGAGACACATACCCCCAGAAACAAGAACACAGGGAGAAGGTGGTCCTCGATAGGCTAAGGAGAGAGGCCTTAGAATCAACCCTGACTACCCCTGCCTCAGACTTCTGGCCTCCAGAACTGTGAGACAATATGTTTCTGTTGTGTAAGCCACAAAGTTGGTTGTTCTTCGTTGTCTTAGTCCATTTTCTGTTGCTATGACTGAATGTCACAGACTGGGCGATTTCTAAAGGATAGAGTTTTATTTGGCTCACGATTTTGGAGACTGGGAAATCCAACATGGTGCCAAATCTGGTGAAGGCCTTCTTGTCACATCATAGCATGGTGGAAGGTGACGGGGGAGAAAGGGTAAAGCACGAGGGAGAGAGAGGGGGAGGAAGAAAAAAGGAGGGAAGGAGGGCAGGGGTGGAAGAGAGAGAGAAAGCACTGAATCCACTTTTTTTTTTCCTATCTTTCCATTTCTTTTTTTTCAGGTAGAACTGGGGTTTGAACTCAGGGTTTTGCCCTTGCAAAGCAGCGCTCTACTGCTTGAGCCACATCTCCAGTCCTCGAACTCACTTTTATAATGACTTTGCTCCCTCTTGAGATAGTGACACGAACCCCTTGTTGAGGGCAGAGCCTTCTTAACCTAATCACCTCTTTGAAGGTTTCACCTCTCAACACTGGCTATAGATTTTAGGTTTCTAAACACACAGGCTTTGGGGGGCACATTCAAACCATGGCACCACCCCATCCCTTCTGGCTGACTTTCCTTCCTCTCTGCACAGTGACCTGCCTCTCCTTCTCCATCCTTGGCTAAGCTTGCCTGGCCCATAGCCCTTCCCCAGGTCTCTTTCAGGCCACTAGAAGGGACACTTGACAGCCCCAAGTCCAAAGCACAAGACAGCATGTGATGACTCATATTCGACCCGACGTTCACCTGTGCCCTGGTTAGCCAAGGCCAGGACTGCCCTGGATCACTGCTCCAGGACAGGAGTGGGGTGGGGAGAGGTTCTCTAAGCACAGCCTGTGGGCTGAAATCTGGGGAGAGGCTCCTGGAACCCTGGGCACACCTCTGGGGGCCCGGGAATAAACAGGAGCTGACCAGGCCAAGGAGGGGAGGGGCATGCTCAGATCAGATGGCACAGGTGAGCAAGGAATGGCCCCTTGAAAAGCTGGAGGGAAGGGGAGGTTCGTTTGTCTGGAGCACAAGTGTTGAGGGAGCCAGGCAGAGGAGCATTTTGGCTGGCTGCCCAGATGCTGGGAGGAACAGCTGTCTGTGCGGAGTCCTGGGGCTCAGCAGCTGGGGTGGAGTTGCCTGGAGGCTCTGATGCTGAGCCAGAGCTGAGAGGCGGTGACGGGAAAGTTAGGACAGGCAGAACATCTGGAGGGAGAGCAGCGCTGATCCGAGACAAGACGTGGTGTGGCGTGGGGGCTGGAGGTCTAGGCAGACCAGGGCAGGGACACTGGGAACCGAGTCTAAGGATGCCTCCGGGGCTCCAAGCCTTTCTTAACCATGTTGCTTCTGACCTCAGGAAGGATCCTTAGTGAGAGCCCTTTCTGGAGAGTGGGAGAACAAGAAGGGCAAGGGGGGATGTCGCCAGTTCTGCTCCCTCTACTTTAGCCTCCATGTTTTTTCCTCTCAGGGCTTTTGCATGAGCACTTCCCTTGCAGTGTTCCCTGCACCTCCCCTCACCCCATCTGCCCCAGCCCTCAGCATGGCTGCCACCTTCTGTCCTTTAGGTTTCTGTGAGGTCTGCCCACCCCCAGCTCCCTCCATCCTCCTGCTGATCTCTCTCACAGCACCTGCTTTCTTGTCTTCATTTTGCATCCACCTTGAAACCAACTTGCTGGCTGGGGGTGTGGCACAAGTGGCTGCAAACTCAAGGCCAGTACTACCAACCAAAGGGGGCGGGACCAACGTGCTAATTGCTTCTTTAGTGGCTAGTGTCTTTCCCCTGGGCAGCATGCAAAAAAAGTGGGGACCCTGTCCTCTTTGGCCCTGAAATTGGGAACTAGGACATAAGTGGTAACCAGTAACTGTGAGCAGAGTAGAAAAGTCACCTGACTTCTAGATTTGCACTGTGAACCCTGGAGTGACAGGCTCTCCTGTGACAGGAAGTTCCTAAGTTCACCCCAGAGCAGCCTCTGGTTGGTGCGATTGTAAGGGGAGCCCCTTTAGGGGGTGTGGTGAAATCTAATGACTGGGAATGTGCCAGGAGTAGACGGGCCATCAGCGTGTGAAGGCTTGGTGTGGGTGGGTGGAGGGGGAAAGTCACCTGACCATGCGTGGGGGGCCACTGTGCTAGTGGGTGGAGGCTGCTGGGACAGAGCTATGAATCCAGTGACTCGAACAGCAGCGACTTACTGTCTCCCAGTTCTAGAAGCTGCAAGTTCAAGATCAAGGCCGTGCTCTGAGGACTGCAGGCAAGGATCTGGCTTGTCCCTCAGCTTCTGGTAGTCCTTGGCTTGTGGCACATGTCATTCTCCCTGGGCACACTGTCTCTGTCCAAATGTCTCCTTTTCACAAGGTCACCAGCTGTGCTGGATGCAGGCCCATCTGAATGACCTCATTTTAACTTGCTTAACTCCGTGAAGAACCTTTTCTCCATATAAGGTCATGATCTGGATGACTTGGGGTTAGATCTCCAGCATGTCTTTTTGGGGGGCACAATTCACCCCATGAGAACATTCAGGACATGGGGTGCCGGAGAAAAGAATGAGATAAAGCAGAGCGTGCGGGAAATTCCCAGTGCATGATGTCATCAGAGCAGGAGTTTGGAGCCTTGAAATGACACCCAGGAGTGCCAGGCAGAGGAGTCCTATCAGTGGGGTTGGCAGAACGTGTATTCATCAGTGACAGGGGACTCATTGGATTGCTGTGACCGGGAAGCAAGCTGTGGGGGACATGCCCACAGGAGTGTGACTGGACAGAGTGTGGGCAGGGCAGGCAGAATCCATGCAGACATCTGGGAGCCCACTGTCCTTTCACACTTTGCATCTCCCATCCCTGTATAGTGGGAGGTGGCCCTTGCTGGGCAATTTGTGTCCCTCTCAGCCTGGGTTAGGATCCTGGTAGCTTCGACTTCCCATGACCCTCTGACTCCTGAAGAGAAACAGGACCTCTGCCAAGAACGATGACAACTAATGTTGCCATCACACTGCTTGCTGGTGCCAGGGACTGCTGTGAACTGCACACATTCACTTAATCCTTTCAACACTAGAAGATGGATTTTTTGGTACTGGGGTTTGAACTCATGGCCTTGTGATTTGTCTTGCAATCAAGCAGGTGCTCTACTGCTTGAGCTACACCTCCAGCCCTTATAAGAGAGGTCTTGTTACTAACTTACCATGAATGAAGTCATTACAATTGCCCACGGCCTCACAGCTGTCAAGTGGCAGCTCTGGAATTCCCAGCATGGCTCTTCCCCACATGTGTGCTGCTTTTCCTGTGGGCCCTGTGACCTCAGGCAAGGTCAGCAGCTCCATCCCTAACACAAGAGTTGGACTGACCTCCCAGGTGGAGCTAGGAAGGGCTCAGAGAGACAGAAGGAGAGGGACCAGGCCTTTGCCAAGGTAACCTGAAACTTCTCTGCTTCTCCCAGGGCTGTCCCCAACGCAGTCATGCCCACAGGGGTCTGCTGGCTGCAGGAAGCAGTGCAAGCCTGACTACTACCTGAATGGAGTCAGCCGTTGCACCGCCTGCGTGAGCTGTTCAGGAGGTAAGGCTCTTCCCTCTTTGGGTCTCCATCCCAGGATCATGCGGGACTTGTGAGAATCTGGAGTGGGGGCAGGGCATTGGGATTTGGTGCTTGAACTCTGAATCGGCCCCCTGGAGCCTCAGTTTACCTCTCTGGGTTTGTGAACTGATAGCAGTGGTGATGTTTTTTGGAGGTACTGGAGTTCAGACTCATGGCTTCATGCTTGCTAGGCAGATGCTCTACCACTTGAGCCACACTGCAGCCCTTTTTTGTGTTGGGTATTTTCGAGTTAGGGTCTCTCAAACTATTTTTCCCGTGCTGGCCTCACACTGTTATCCTTCTGTTCTCTGCCTCCCTAGTAGCTAGATTACAGGCATGAGCCACCAGTGCCTGGCAGGGAACTTTCCTTTCTTCCTCCTGCTTTGCAGTGAGAAATCTGAGGATTTGTGAGTTTTGCCTTCCCAAAGCTGCAAAGCTTGGTAAACAGTAGAAGTGTACAGAGTCTGAACTGCTGGCCTGGCACAAAGAGCTGTGTTCTTTGCTAAGGGCACGGTGCTTCCAGAAAAACTCTCAATAAACCCTTTTATTGTTGGTTTCTAATTATGGTTAATGTGGTCTGGTGTTTGTTTTGTTTTTGTGTGGGTTTTTTTTTGTGTGTGTGTGTGTGTGGGAGGAGGGTAGGATGGGGGAATTTGTTGAGATCTTATGACCTAATAAATTTTATGAGTGTTCAGTGTTTTAAGCCATGTGCATTGTGCTTGTTGCAAAGTTCTTTATATTTGAGTTAGATCAAGCTTGTTAGTTGTGTTACCTAAATTGTAATGTATCTTTGTCACCTCTACTTGTTGAGATGGGTCTGTTCCACTCTTACCTCCCATTAGGTCTTCACTGTGTTCTTTTTATCTTCTGCTTCATGTATGGCAAAGCTATGTTATTAGGCACATAAGTGTTCATGAATGTTATGTTGTTTTGGTGGGTCAGACATTTTATCCTTATGCAGTGTATCTCTTTGTTCTTTATAATACCTTTTCTCTTAATTTCACTATTGTTTGATATTAATATTGCCATTCCTTCCTTCCTTCCTTCTTTCTTTCTTTCTTTTTTTTTTTTTGGTGACCCTGGGGTTTGAACTCAGGGCCTCACACTTGCTATTCAGGTGCTCTTACTGCTTGAGCCACTATGCCAGCCCCTTTTTGTGATGGTTTTTTTTTTAAGATAGGGTCTCAAGAACTATTTGCCCTGGCTGGCTTCAAACTGTGATCCTCCTGATTTCTGCCTATTGAGTAGCTAGGATTACAGGCGTGAGTCACTGGTGCCTGGTTCCTTCCTTCTTTCTTAAATACATTACCATTTCTCTGTTATATCTTAAGTTTTTAAAGTGCTGACTGCATTTTAGTAAATAAAAATTGTGTATGTTTATTGTATGACATTGAAGTGATACAAAGGAGAATAAGGAAGAAAACCAATGCTGTCTTCCCAGCCCTTCATCTGCAAGTAACTAGTTATTATTAGGTGATTAACCTGTGTCTGCACCTACAGAGAGAAAAAGGACAGGTTAGTGGCCAAACTGTAGATACAGAGAAAGAAGGAGTTTTAAGAGAAGGGAATGTTTTATTTTGACATTAGAATTATGACATTTAACTTAATCAACAGATCAGAGAAAGGAGAAACTAAAAGAATGAAAAATCTCAGATGATTGGTATAATTTTTTTTTTTTTGAGACAGGATCTATATATTTCAGAGTGGCCTAGAGCTTGTAATTTTCCTGCCTCTGCTTCACAAATACTGGGATTACAGGCATGTACTATCACACCCTACTAGATTAGTGCATTTCTTCTTCTTCTTTTTTTTTTAATTTTATCAAAAGAGATAGTAGAGCTGTAAAAGTAAATTCCATTTAAAGTTAGGAAAAGATGTCTGGGGGTATATCTGATAGAATGCTTGCCTACCATGTGCAAGGCCCTGGGATCAATTCCTAGCACTGCAAAAAGAAAAAAATTAAGAAAATTGTGAAAACATACAGGCCAGGTGTAGCCATGCATGTCCATAGTCCTGGCTGCATGGGAGGCGTAGATAGCACCTACCTAATTTATTTTAAGCCCACTTAGCTGTCCCCAGGGATGTGGGCTGGAAATGAAAGCTGTGTCAAGGACCCCACCTGCCCTTTTGTCTCCCCATCAGGAACTCTGAAAAGAAGGGTTCAGGGGGCCAGCTGTCCCCCCCACCAGAAGGCCAGCTGTCCCCCCCACCAGAAGGCCATGTGACATTTGCTCTCATGTGCTGGGTGCTGGATGGTCCCAGGGTATCTGCTGGACCTCCTGCCCTGGCCACCCCATCCTTCCCACAACCCTGCTCTGTGTCCCTCAGATGACCTTGTGGAGAAGGCGCCGTGCTCCTGGAACTCCTCCCGGGTCTGCGAGTGCCGGCCTGGCATGTTCTGTGTCACACCCGTCGCCAACTCCTGTGCCCGCTGCCGCCTCCACTCTGTCTGCCCTGGGGGGATGGTTGTTAAGGTCCCAGGTGAGTGTCCCCACCCTCCGCCCGGGACTCAGCTGTGCTGCTCCCCACCTGACTCCTAGTTCTCCCCACCTCCAGCCTCCCCAGCCTGTGAGTCGTGCTCCTTTCATGTGCCCTCGATGCACCTGGCACTCAGGACCCTCCACCTGTGCCCCAGGCTCAGAGAGACCCTGGGGACCAAGGTGCATACACAGCTGGAGGGAGTCTCAGGTCCACTTGAGTCTTGGGGGGAATTCCCCAATACTCCACAAACAGGAGGGAAGCCTCAGGTCTGTGACCTGAGAGTTTCCTGAAAGGTAAGCCCCGGTTTCACTGCTGCAGAATTGGGTATTGGGGATTAGAGGGGCCAAGAGATCAAGCTCAGGAACTTTTTTTTCTTTTCCAACTTGCTGTGTGACCTCAGGCAAGTTCCTTACCCTCTCTGAACCTCCAGTTTTCTGACTGTGCAAAGGTGGGGCTCGTGGCCAGAGAAGAGCTAAGAGCCACAGATTCTGCTTGTGTGGTGTCAGGAGCTCCTCTTGGAGGCTCAGGGAGCAGGTGGGGTTGGACAACAGCCCACAATGGGTGCCACAGCATTGCAGAGCGCACACAGGGTAAGGTGAGGTCAGAGAGAGCTGGGTGTCCACTGAGGAGAAAGGGCCAAACTGAACCTGTGACCCCTCCCCCTGCCTTTTCTGGAGTCCTGTCACATGCCATGTAAACTAAGTGACCCTCAGTCTCCCCACGCCCAACTCCTGCCTCCCCTTCTTCCTCTTTCCCAGCATCCCCCAGCCCTGCTCCCTGTTCCCTCTCCTCCAACCCTGCTCATCTCACCCCAGCAGACCTTGAACAATCAGACGAGAGCCTCTCTCATTCTCTCTGCCACACTCACACTCACACACACTCCTCACACAACACTCTCACATTCACACCCTCACACTCGCGCACCCACTCACACTGGGGCGCTTGCCCAGGGCACTTCAGCGTCTGCCTCTACTCTGATGGCCTGGGGGAGCCGCAGGAGGGAAGTTTTTGGTGATCTGTGTCTGCTGGTGTTTCCGGGCTGCCGGCTCCTTCAACTCCACATCTGGGACTCACGAAGCAGAGAGACAGCTCCAGAGTCACCACTGTGCCATTCTTCAGGTCCCCAAGGTCCCTTGCTGACCTGCCCTCTCCTCTCACCTCTCAGTCTCCGTTAGGGACACTCTTCCTTCCCCTTCCCTCCCCGTTCCCTTAGCTGATCCTACTCAGCCTTGGGCTCTCCATCCTCACACTGCCTCCTCAAGGGGCCTTCGCCAGCCTGGAGCTTGTACGCCATTGTGATTGCTTGGAGCCCACAGATTACAAACGCTTGGTTCGCTCAGTGGCTGTCTCCCACCTGGGATGGGAGCTTCACGAAGGCAAAGAGCTGTGCACCTGGCTCACCGTCACATCCCTGCCACCCCGTCAAACAGGCAGAGAGCCTGCTCCCCACAGATACTTGCTGAGTGGTGTGGGGGGCAGGGAGATCAGAGCTGGGGCTACAGGTGGGGTTCAAGTCTGCCAGATTCTCCTCGGGTCACCGTCACGAAGGAGCACTTTGCTATGGGACATAAAACCCGTACACGCAAGCAGAGAGGAGTTGAGTGGAAAGTGCGCTGGTCCTGGCCTCAGCTCCCTGGGGTTTTGCAAAGTCTCGCACCTGTGGGTCCCATTCCCACAGCTCTCTGGGCCTCAGTCTCCCCACCTGTAAAATGAGGAGGTGTAACTTCAAGACCCTGGGGACTTTTCCAAGTTTCTAAGAAACTTTTGTTTTTTGAGGCAGAGTCTCACTTTGTAGCCCAGGCTGGTCTCAATCTCGATCTCCATCCCATTCCGAGTTCTGCCTGTCAGAAACTCTTGTCAGGAAACGGCCTGAGGTCAGCTGTTCCAGCCAGCAGAGTGGGGCTGTCTAAAGAGTGTTCCCATGGCTGCCACCCGGTGGGGCCAGAGGTCTCTCTTTGATGCCCAAAGGGGTCCCACGGCCGCACGTGGCCCCGGAGCACTGAAAATGTAGCTGTTCTGCGGTGAGATGTGCCGTGAGCGTGTGACACGCGCGGGATGCCAAAGACATTGGCTTGTGGTGGTGACAGGTCTATTTCAGGAGACTCTGAGCTCCTCAATGCCTGTTCTGAAGCCACTTCTGTCCCCCCCAGGTACGGCAGAGAAGGACACGGTCTGTGGGCTGCCTTCCCCAGAAGCTGGCCCCGGCTGCACCAGCTCAGAGGACTGTAGCACACCCGCCAGGTGACTCCCAGCCTCCCCTCCCTTCTGCTCCAGATGACCTGTGGATGAGGCTGTCCCACCTTACAGATGTGTAGGGTACAGCTGGGCCCGGGTGCAGTCCAGGGTGCCAGGACTCCAGGGTGCCTCTCCAGCAGACCCATGAGTCATGTGTGGCCCATGTATGTCCAGCATGCACGGAAGGCCCAGAAGTTCTATGAGCACAGCTCTTGCTCCCAGGAGCTCACGGCTGGCCTGTGGACCCTTGTGAAGGGGCCGAAGTAGATGCTCTGGGGCCCCTCTCCATAGAAACCAGTATCCCTGAGCACACGCCTGCCTGGCCCCGTTGGGAGTCATCAGTCCCGTCTGTGGCTTCTTCCCCAGCAGCTCCATGGCCCAGGCCACGTCCACCTTAACGTCCCCAACCACTGCCAAAGCCAGGACCACGCTTCTGAGAGGGGGCAGCCCCGTCACTGTACGAGCTGCTTCTGGTCTGGTGAGAGCTCCCAAAGCTCCCTCCTCCGTGGGGGAGCCCAGTCCCAATCCAGGTAACGCGCCCCTGAAGTCGGGGTTGTTGCCCGGGGCGGTGGTGATGTCCGATGGATGGGTGACCCATGTGTGGCAGTGATCAGGGCAGGTTGGCACTGAGTTGTGGCCTCTTCCCACAGGTCAGAGCACTGGATGGGCTCATTCATTTGTCATGGGTCTAAACCGCCCGTGTGCCAGGCACTAGTGTGGATGTTAGGCAGGCATTAGGCATTCTGTCCCTGTCTGCTGGATGGCCCTTCCTGTGCAAGGATGAACTGTGCTCGGCCCACTCAAGCAGACTGCAGGTGTTTGGGCTATGATGAATGATGAAAAACAAAGCTTTGTGTGATGTTTTCATTTGTCTTGGATTCCTCCTTTTTTTTTTTTTTTTTGTGGGACTGGGGTTTGAACTCAGGGCTTTGCACTTCCATAGCAGGCATTCTACCGCCTGAGCCACACTTTCAGTCCATTTTGCTCTGGTTATTTTGAAGATGGGAGTGTCATGAACTATTTGCTTGGGTTGGCCTCAAACTGCGATCCTCCCGATGTCAGCCTTCCAAATAGTTAGGACTACAGGTATGAGCCACCGGTTCCGGCTTCACCATACTGTTTTAACTACAGACTTCTTAGAAGGTTGGACATTTCCTCCTCTGTTCTTTGACAGTGTGTTGGATATTCTTGGTAATTTGCATTTCTGTATCAATTTTAGAATCAGCATTTCAAATCCCACAGGGTCTGACTGGGTTTCTGGTTGGGACAGCGTGGAGTCTATAGGGTGGTTTGGAGAGAATCCAGGTCTAGACAGGGCTGCATCTTCCTGTGCTCACACAGTGTGCGTCTGTGCTGTTCTGGGCCTAAGGATTCTCTCAACAGGGTTTGGTGGTTTTCTGCATAGAGGTATTTGCATCTTTTTGGTCAGATTTCTAGGCATTAATGTTTCAGATGATGTAAACAATGTTTGCTGGCAGTTCGTGTTCTAACTCTGTCGTTGGTATTATTTTGAATCATGTGAAATTGCCTGTATTTGACCATCTTTGACCTTACAAAACCAGTGCTTTCACACGGTCCAACCTAATATGTAGAAACTTAGTTGAGTTTTGGTACATGGACTCTTAGTCTGCTTTCTGTCCACTGTGACAAAACACCTGACGCCATCAGCTTAATAAGGGGGAAGGTTTGTTTTTGGCTTATAGTCTTGGAGGTTTCAGTCCTTGGTTGGTTGGCCTGTTGCTTTGGGCCTGTGGTCAGATAGAACAGGATGTCACTTCATGACAGCCAGGAGGCCAAAAGAGAAGACGAGGAGGGGCAAGGGTCTCTTTCATGGACATGGCCCCAATGACCTAACTTCCTCCCATTAGGCTATAACTCCTAAAAGTTCCTCCACCTTTCAACAGTGCCGCAGGGTGGGGTGCAGGCCTTAGACACATAGGCCTGTGGGGGACACATTCAGACCTGAGCTGTAGCAGAGTTTGAAAACTGCCTTGCTTGACTCACTCACTTACCAATGGTGGTAGCACACCTGTGACTTCTTTCGGGTTTTCTGTGCACTCCGTCATCCCCTCTGAGTGCCAGCAGCTTCATATCTTGCTCTGTGACCTTTGTCACTTATTTCTCTTTGTAACTTCACACAGTGCTAGTGTTTCCTGCACCGTACTGAACAGAAGTGTTGATAGTGACGCCTTCGCCTTGGTGCTCTTGTTACAGGGAAGGCTGCCACCAAAGCTTTGAGCAGGAAAGCGACCTGGCAGTGACACTGGGGAAGGGCTGGGACAGTGCCATGGTGGGTGAGAGAGGGAGGGGCAGGAGGCAAAATTGTAGGTGCTCTTCCCCTGCGTGGCTTTGGACACAGTCCTTCCCTCTCTGGGTCCCAGTTTTGGTGCTGTCTATGGTCATGGGAGCTTAGGGCAGTCCAGCCCCCAGCTTTTCTGCTTCTTCCCCCAGGACTGTCCCTGTTACAGCAGCCATGCCTACAGGGCTCTGCCGATTGCAAGAAGCAGTGTGGACCCGAGTACTACCTGGACGGGGCTAGCCGCTGCACAGCCTGTGTGAGCTGTGCTCAAGGTGAGGGGCTTGTCCTCTGTCTGGCTCCTTCCAGGAGCATGGGACCTCAGTAGTGAGGTGGAGAGTCTGGGGGTGGGGAAGCCTGTCTTTGGTTTTTGCTGCTTAGCCCTCAGGAGACTCAGTTTATCTGGCATTTTGAGGCATTGACTTCCAGGGATTCTTGCTTACATTAGTGGGTTTGTGGTGGCCGTGGCCCCTTTTCTGAGAGCATTCATTTCCTCATTCCTTCCTTCCAGGAGGCATCGATAAGTGGCATACTGTTCCACGACGGTTCCAAATTGTCTCATTGGTTTTTATAACTGCTGTACAATGCAGGGATTGTTATTGTCCCCAATTGCAGAAGAGAAAATGGAAGCTTCAGGGAGTCAGGGAACTTCCAAACACCAGGGTTTGCATGTAGGAGAGTCTGATGGAGGCTCTGGGCTCTTGTCACTCTGCCTTGAGAGTCTTCAGCCAGATTCTCCCTGGGGCCAGTTCACCACAGCCACCCTGTGGCTTCCATGGAGGCCACACAGGGCAGGGGGAGCCGTCCAGACCATAGCTACAGGGCTGTTAGCAGTGCCACCCACTCACAGGGGTCCCCGGGAGTGTGAGTGTGTCTGCTGGTGCAGGGTCTCCTTCATGCGGCAAGGTGGCCTAGGGTCAGGAGACTGAACAGAGGGATGACACTGCCTGCTGTCACGGGGTGCCTCTGTCCCCCATGGGACATGTTTGTGTAGCAAACGTTCTCAAAGTGTTGTGGTACAGAGCAAACCATTCATTGTATCTGTGGCTTCCGTGGGTCAGGATTCAAGTAGGGCACTGCCTGCAGGGACCACTGGCCTCTGCTCCACAGCGTCTGGGGTGTCAGTCGGGAAACCTGAAGGCTTCTCCACTCCCGAGGCTTCGGGGCTTGCAGAGCTTCTCACCTGGCCTCTGTGTGGCTTGCTTGGGCTTCCTTGTGGTCTGGTGACTGGGCCCTAAAGGAGAGAGTGGAGAGTGAAAGGGAGGGAGAAAGGCAGGGAGGGAGGAAGGAGAGAGATGGAGAGGGAGGGAGAGGAGGGGAGGGGGAGAGGGGAGAGAGGAGAGAGAGACAGAGGCAGGAAGAGAGAGTGAGGTAGAAGCCATATTGCCTTTTCCAATCTAGTGTCAGAGGTCAAACAGTTTCCATCTGTTGAGGCGGTCACAGGTCTCCCAGGAGATGGAGGGAAGGAAAACAGTTGCTCTTGTTGCTGGGTAAGAGGCAAAGCCCTGGAAGAGCAGACAGCTCGAATATTGTTGTGGATAGTTTTGGAAACATGCAATCTAGCAGGGTCACCGTGTCGGATGGAGGAGGCCAGGATAGCACTGGGTCTGAGGACCCCTTCCATGCTCAGAACTGCGGCCCCAAGGCAGTGGAGAGGAGCACGGCCTGAGGGCCTGGGCTCACATCTTGGCTCTGCCACTCGGTAGCTCATAAACTTGAGCAAGCTTCTTTCTCCTTTTTCTTTTCTTTCTTTTTTGGTGGTAGTAGTGGTGTGGGGGATGGAACCCAGGGTCTCGTACATTCTAGGCAAATGCTGTACCACTGAGCTACCTCTCCAGTGCTCAAGCACCTTCTTACCCTCTCGCTGACGCAGTTTACTCCTCTCCAAAATGGGCATAGTAACAAAGTCAATCTCAGGGAGTCGTAGGCTTAGGTAGATTGTTGTAGGTTGATCTGGGTGGATCACACACTCTATTAGGTTAAGAGTTGTCATCTTGATCGTAACTGTCACTGTCCCAAGTCAGCTCACTCATGACTTCTGCACAAATTCCCCAAATCCTGCCCAGTTTGCCCTCTGGAGGCTGTGAAAAAGCCTGTGAAGTTCTTCCCTTCATTGTGCTGGGTCTCCAAGCATCTACCCATGGAGAAATGGTCTTGTCGAGCAGCCACATTTGCCTGTCATCGATGCAATACTTCTGTTTCCATCCACAAATGCAGCATGCAAAAAACCCCAAACATGGGCTGGAGGAGTGGCTCAAGCAGTAGAGTGTCTGCTTTGAAAGCACGAGGCCATGAGTTCAAACCCCACTACTACCAAAAAAAAATTTATACTTTTTCCTTTACAAAACCTCTAGTGTTTTCTTCCTTCCTTCCTTTCTTTCTTCTTTCTGCTTTAAAAACCACTTTTATCTTTGAAAATTTTAAACTTATTCAGAAGTAAGAAAGACTAGGGAATGACTCTGTACAATTACCAAGTCATAGCCAACCCACTTCATCCATCCCCAAGCCACTTGCCTCCTCCCTGGATGATTTTCTCACAGCTCTGTGGAAAATCTGTTGTTACCCTACAGTGAGATCCACATATTAAAGTGCACAATTTGAACAGCTGACATGTGCGTGAATCTGTATCCAACTGACACCCCCAAAAACTCACTCCAGCTCCCCTCCCTACCTCCAGCCCCATTCCCGGGCAGTTGGGTGGTCTGTTGTCGTGGTGATCTAGCTCACATTCTCTGGGATTTTAGGTGACCAGAAGGCATAGAACGCACTCCTTTTGTCTGCCCTCTGTCAACAGCAGCCTTACTTTGAGAATAGTCAAATGAGCCCTTATTTCCTGGTGGACCAGCCTGGGCCGTGCTTCTCAGTTATCCTGGGGCCTCTCTGGACCTCCCACTCTCACTATCCTAATCCTTTCCCCATGGCCCTCCTCTGTGTCCCTCAGATGACCTTGTGGAGAAGGCGCCGTGCTCCTGGAACTCCTCCCGGGTCTGCGAGTGCCGGCCTGGCATGTTCTGTGTCACACCCGTCGCCAACTCCTGTGCCCGCTGCATTGCCCGCCTCAACTGTGCACCGGGGACAGTTGTCAAACGCCAGGGTGAGCAGTCCCCACCCTGCCCAAGCACAGAGGTCCTGTCCCTACCCCTGGGCAACTGACCTTCCACCCCAGCTGTGATCTGGCATTTTGGTGGGAGGTTCTTCTTCCTGAAACACTTGGGCTGAGCCAGCCTGGATTAGTTTGCCGGACTGCTTTATTGGCTCAGGTAGACGGAGATGAGGTTCCATCTGAGGACGGTGAGCTTCACAGAGTACAAGGGGGAAAAAAGGGCTCATTGGCAGATGAGAAATTTCTAGAAATTTCTAGGTGGTTGGAAACAGATGGAAGGGTGATGATGAATGGTACCAAGTGGAGAAAAGCTCACACAGATCACTCCAGGAGGTCTGTGGGAAAAGAAAGAGAAGGTCCCCTGCCTGTCAGTGCTGGGGTCACCTCCAGAGAGGGCCTGGACTCAGGTGAAACGAAGTGAGGGTGGAGAACTGGAGGGTGTGGACGTAAGCACAGCCCGAAATGTGGAAGTCCGTGACATGGGATTGGCCAGTCTACAGGGCTGAGTGTTCCCTGGTAAAACCACCAGCTCTGACTATGACCCTGGAAGAAGGCTATCTAGGGGAAGCCATGGCTACAAACAGGAAGCACCACTCTAGAATGCTGCAAAAAAGGAGGAGTAAGACATCAGAGGACAAGAAGTGACTTTTAGAAAGTGCTTTTTGTTGATCTATTGCCTGTTGGCTCTTGGTTCACCCTTCTGTACCTGCCCTGTGACGAGTGACTGGATTCCAAGCATTTTTTTGCAGTGAGCGTGATGTGCCTCATGGCCAGTAGAGGGCACTAGAGGGCCACTGCTGGAGGAAGTCTGCTTTTCTCCACTGCATTTGCTTTTTGCTTGTGCTATATAGTCTGTCAGCAGGACATTGGGGTTAAGGACATCTGGGTCCTGTGGTGCTCCCAAGAGCAGGACAGTGCCTTAGTAACCTCACAGTCCCAGCCTAGGGACTGGTAACCATCTTGATACCAACAGTGGCATACCCTAGGCCTCATATCAACAGAAGCCCCCCTGCCCGCCAGGCGTCTTCTGCACTGCATTTTCAAAGCCTTTCTCACATGGTCACTAGGTGCTACAGACCTCACACCCATGGTGGCACCCTCTGTGCACCTGACCTAAAAAATGTGAGACTGCAGGCTTGTTTCCAGTTTAGGGCTATCATAAAAGCAGCCATGGATACTCCTGGACAGGTCTCCAGGTGAACAGATGTTTTCATTTCTCATGGGAAGAGACCAATGAGGGTGGCTGGGTCCCTGTGCTGGCCACTCAGCCAGATTGTCTTTGAGGGCCAGTCCAAAACTGGGCTCCTTTGTTTTATGGATGGAGAGAACCGTGGAGCTGGTGCACAGCCAAGAATGCAGATTGCAAGGGTCAGTCCAGAGCACTTCCCACCGGACCACAACATTTTCTCACTTCTAAACCAATTAATTTACCCAACTAAATTGTAATCAGGTTTGAAGGCAGAATAAAAATATTTTTCAGATATAAAAGGTCTATAAAGCTTTTCCTAACAGATCCTCTCTTAAAAATTATTCAGAGATGTAATCCAGATAAATGAGGTGGTACAAAGCAAAAAAGAGGAAGCCATAGGATCTAGAAAATGGTGACTGTTCCAGAGAAGAGCAAGGAAGGAAAGACCCAGAATGGCAGCTGTGCTACTAGACAGTTGAGGAAAATGGAGAGTTCCAGGGAAGTGTCTCCAGAAATGAAAGGGACATTTAATTGCAGTACATTTCATGATTAGTAGAAGATATGGTAAAGGCACATTGTTCTTTTCTTATCAAGAAAAAGAAAGGCACTGGGTAACAGTGGCTCATGCCTATAATCCTAATTGCTCAGGAATCAGAGATTAGGAGGATCACAGTACAAATCCAGCCCAGGCAAATAGTTTGGAGACCCTATCTCGAAAGAAAAAAAAAAATCCATCACAAAAGAGGGCTGGCAGAGTGGCTCAAGGTATAGATCCTGAGTTCAAACCCAAGTACTGAAAAAAAAAATAAATAAAACCAAACAAACAAAAAAAGAAAGGCAATTGAAAACTCAGAGAAAACAAAAAGCAGACAAGAAATTGCAGTCCAAATGCAATGATGAAAATTTCACTTGATTTTAAGTAATTGCAAAAAGAGGATCCATTTGACCTTGATACTTAAATCACTTTTAAAATGGCCCAAGGGTCAAGTGTTTGTATTCAAAGATAAATATTTTAGTCTGGTAAATAATATGCATTTTTTAAAATTCTAATTGGAAAGTTTGAGTATGAAGCTTTTTTTTTTTTTTTTTCCTCTTCTGATGGACCATTAGCAGGGAACACAGGCAAAATACCTAGGGGTTAGACAGTGCCTCTTATTACTTCCCAATTCAAAAGGGGAGGAAGATTACAGGTGAGGTATATTTCCTCTGGAGGGAATGAGAGGCTGGGCACCTTCTGTGCTTAGAGGGTGATAGCAGATCCATTCTTGGGATCCAGCAGGTGTTCAGGTGGCAGGTGAGACCCAGGTCTGTCTAGTGACAACAGCCTATCATGGACATAGGTGGGACCCTGTCCTCGTGCTCACTGGGTTGTCAGTCAGTGCTTGTGAGCACAAGAACTTCTGTCCTTTCAACATGGATTTTAACTGAAACCCAGTGACAATTCAGATGCTAATTCAAATAGAAGAAAAATATAATAAGAAAAAAACACATCCCAGGCCCTAAGGCCTCCAGGCCTGTTAATTCACCTAACGATCGACTAGGGAACAGATGGAAGGATACAGCACCTGTTTGAGGACCACACCAACCTGAGAAGGAAATGAGTCCTGGACTCACTGTTTCTTCTATGAATTTCTGGAAACGCTGAGCCCCTGTGGCTTGTGGCTGTAATCCCAGCTACTCGGGAGGCAGATGTCAGGAGGATCACAGTTTGAAGCCAGCCTAGGCAAATAGTTCACAAGACCCTATCTTGAAAAAAACCCATCACAAAAAAAGGCTGGTGGTGGAGTGGCTCAAGTGGTAGAGCACTTGCCTAGCAAGCTTGAATCCCTGAGTTCAAGCCTCAGTACTGCCAAAAAAAAGAGGAAAAAAAAAAAATCAAAGAATCATCATGAGAACTTTCTGGAAGGGAGGTTGCTTTGTACCACATCAAAGAAGGGGTGTGGTGTCTGCACATGACCAAAATTTTCTGCTTCAGAAAAGCAGCTGCTTATAAGCTTGTAAGAATGCACGCATCCCCTGGCGGGAGGTGACGTGGTCCAGTGGAGAATGCATGGGTTGTTTCTCACCATCACCCCTATTTTCTGTCTGTGGTTCTATCTGGATCAGCTCCAAGGTGCCAAGCTTCAAACTGGCCCTCAAAGACATTCTGTCTGGTCAGGACAGTGACCCAGTCACCTCTCCTGAGTAGAAAAGAAATGACATCCTTGGTCATCCCTCAAAGCTATGGACAGAATATCATTACAGCTTCAAATGGGAGGCAAGCGAGATGACCACCAACTGGTGAACGAACCACACGAGATGATGCATCGGTACCCCTGTGCACTCAGCCATGAAACGGAATGCGATCTGATAACAGCAACACGAATGAATCTCAAAAATGTTATTCAGAAGGCCGATGCCAAAGAGCACGTGCCGAATGATTCTGTCCATTTGACGTTCTAGAACAGACAGTCCTCCATGGTGATGTAAAGCAGGTCCGTTGCTGTCTGGGTCTGCAGTGAGAGAAGGGCTGAGTGAGGAGGGCCCTGGAGTGTGCTGGGATGGTCTGTACTTTGACCTCAGCTTTAGTTACAGTTGACAGAACTTAGCAAGCCATACACAGGGGACACTTGTCTCTATATAAACTACGCCTCACCACAGTTGATTCAAAAAGAAAAACATCTTTAAAACTCGAGGCTACATTTAAACACCAGGAGATTTCAGCATTCTATTTTTAATTTTTTGGTGGGACTGGAGTTTGAACTCAGGGCTTCACACTTGCAAAGCAGGTGCTCTACAGCTTGAGCCGCACCTCCATCCCCAGGTTTCTTTGAAATGAAATCAGAGAGTCTGGAGCCACTGGGTGACTATGGCTTCACTTTACAAAAAATCCCCACCCCGCTGCCTGTCTCCAGTCTCCTGTCCCTTCTGGGTCAGTCTTTCCTGAAGACTCTAACTCCTTGGTACCCATTCTAAGATGTCGCCATCTCCTACAGGTATGACTAAGAGGGACACCACCTTGGAGCCATCTCCTCCAGGGACCCACCCTGACTGCAGCACCCCAGAAAACAGTGAGGCGCCTGCCAGGTGACTCCCAGCCACTCCTCTGGACAGGATGGAGCTGCCCCTGCCATGCCTAGGGGATTTCTGGGGGAGGCTTGTCTGGGAGTGAAGCAGGGGCCCTGGACTGGGTACTTGGAGGGGCTACATGAAGCCCTTAGGTCATTTGAGGGAATGTGTGTCCAGTTGTGCCTGCAGAATTGGAAAAGCCAGAAGGCCTAGGAACTCAGTGCCTGCCTCACCGAGCCTAGCAGAGACTTTGGGCAGAGGTCCTGGGTTCCCAGGCCTCACCTACACCCTCCATAGAGAGACAAGTATCCCTAAGCACGCACCTCTTTTCAATGGTGACCGTCACCCCTACCTTGGGCTTCTCTCGCTGCAGCACTGCCCCCAGCCTGCAGCCCCTGCTGGATTCCCACACCATCTCCACCGTCTCTTTCTCCTCCACGAGGAAGCCCATTCTGGATCCAGGTAACCATCACCTGAAGCAGGGGCCAGGAAGGAGCCTCTTTGTGGATGAGACCTGGGGAGGAGGGGAGGGGAATGAAGGTTGACCCCAGATTTCTGGCTTCTTGAATTAAGGCTGTGACTCTGTCCTTGCTAATACAATTCTTTAATTTGTGGGAGCACGGACTCTTTTCCATGTTTCATCCTGAAGGCCCGTAATTGCTACTGAATAATTTCATGACCTTGACTAGATGCTTAATGTCGTTGAGACTCAGTTTATTTTCCACTGTAAAATGGTAAAAGCATAGGCCATGCAGGGTTGTAAACATATGGTAAGTGGCCAGCACATTACCCAGTACCACAAGAAAAAGACACCAGCCTATTCCTTTTAGGACCGGCTGTTCCAGCCGTTCACACTAGGTGGCGGTAGTTCACAGTGCAAGGCTGACATCACCCAGGAACTGGTTGGAAGGAAAGTGCCTCAGTGTAATAATGGCTGTATACAGTGTACGGATGACCCTATAGCCAACATTGCACTAACTGGGGGAAATGGAAACCATTTCCTCTGAAGTCAGGAATGAGACCAGGGTGTCTGTCTCTCCATTCTTATTCAATATAGTGCTAGAATTCTTAGCCAGAGCAATAAGGCAAGAGAAAGAAATAAAAGGGATACAAATAGGAAAGGAAGAAGTCAAATTATCTCTATTTGCAGATGATATGATCCTAAATTTAAAGAACCCTAACAACTCCACCAAGAAAAAAATTTCACTCTTTAAACACTTTTGGCAAAGTAGTAGGATACAGAATCAGCATAAAAAATCAGTAGCTTTTTTTATTTATGAACAAATAATGAACAGGCTGAGAAAGAAATCAAGACACCAGTGTCACTCACAATATCCTAAAACTGTAATGACAACAACACCCAGGAATAAACCTAAATAAAGAAGTGGAAGACTTCTACAATGCAAATTAAAACCGTGAAGAAAGAAGTTGAAGAATACACTGGAAGATGGGAAGAGCTCCCAGGTCCATGGATCAGCAGAATTAAAATTGTGAAAGTGGCTATGCTATCCAAAATGGTCTACAGGGTTAATGCAACCCCATCCACATTTCAGTGTCATTCTTCACAAAGATAGGGAGAAAATGCTAAAATTCATTTGGAAGCACAAAGACCATAAAAAGCCAAAGCAATCCTGAACAAAGAAGAACGATGCTGGAGGTATCATAAAAGTGAACTTAAAACTACACTACAGAAGAGCCACTGTAACAAACCGGTGTGGTACTGGCACAAAGACAGGTAGATCAATGGAGCAGAAGATCCAGATAAAAGTCCACACAGCTGATTTTTTGACAAAGGCACCAAAATCTATGTGGGAGAAGGTGGCCTCTTCAACAGATGATGTTGGGAAAACTGGATGCCCTAAGGTAGAAGACTCAAAGTAGAACCTCTCACCCTGTACAAAATTAGCTCAAAATAGATCAAAGATCTCAGAAATGGCTGGAGGAAAACATAGGGAAATCCTGGAGTACAGAGGACTCCCAATTGCTCAGGAAACCAGGGCAAAAATTGACAGAGGTATTGCACCAAGTTAAAAAGTTTCTGCCCAGCAAAGGAAATGGTTTCCAGAATAAAAAGAAAGCCTACAGAATGGGAGAGAATCTTTGCCAGTTATTCATTAGATAAAGGATTCATATTCAGAATATAAAAAGAGCCCCCAAAATTAAGCATTAAATGGACGATGAATCCAACAAATGGGCAAATGAATCAAACAATTTTCAAAAGAAGAAGTGTAAATGGTTAATGGTTTCATGAGGAAACGCTCAGCATCCTTAGCTATAAAGGAAATGCAAATCAAAGTGAGATTCCCGCTCACCCCAATTGGTCATCAAGAATACAAACAACAGGAAATGCTAGCGAGGGTTGAGGGGGGAAGGAACACTTACACACGGTTAGTGGGGGTGTACCCTAGTGCAGCCACCATGGAAATCAGTATGGAGGCTCTCTCAAAAAACTACAGATAGAATTACCACGTGATCCTGCCATACCACTCTTAGGTGTTTATCTGAAGTCATATCGGTCAAGACACCTGCACACCCATGTTTATGGCAGCGTTTTCACAATGGCCATCATTTTTATCTGATGGATAAAGAAGGTGTGGTATGTACACACCATGGATTATTATTCAGCCATAAAGAAGAAAGAAATTGTATCATTTTCAGGAAAATGGATGGAACTGGAGATCACCGTGTCGGGTGAAATAAACCAGGCTGAGAAAGACAGATACTGAACGTTCTCTCTCTTATGTGGAATCTAGTCCTTAAAAATTAACGAAAGGAATGTTTGGGGGTGGATGCCACTGGGAGGGGGAGGGTGAAAGGAGAGAGTGAACAGGGGATGAAAAGGATCAAAGCACTTTATACACATACATGAAAAAGAATAATGAAACCTGCTAAAATTATTTTGAAAAGTAATGCAGGAGGTAGGTTTTATCCAAGTGTATTTTATGTGCCTATGGAAATATCACAATGAAACCCCTTTGTACAACTAACATAAGCTAATTTAAAAAATGAAGCACATTATTGGGAGTCAGAAGTAGGAGGATTGAGGTTCAAGACCAGCCCTGACGAAGTTAGCAAGACCCTATCTGAAAAGCAAACTAAAACAAAAGGGCTGGGGCCATGGCTCAAGTGGTATAGCATCTGCTTGACAAGCTGGAGGCCCTGAGTTCAATCCCCCCCACCCCCCAAGAAAAAGGAAAGGAAAGGAAGAAATGCACGCTATTAGCAATTAAGAGTGGGCTCTGAGCTGGGCCCTGGTGTTTCATGCCTGCAATCCTAGTTACTTGGGAGGCTGAGATCAGGAAGGTCAGCCCAAGCAAATAGTTCTTGAGACCCCATCTCCAAAATAATCCACACAAAATGGACTGGAGGTGTGGCTCAAGTTGTAGAGTGCCTGCTTTGCAAGCGTGAAGCCCTGAGTTCAAACCTCAGTCCCACCAAAAAAAAGGAGTGGGCTCTGGTTGGAGTTGTACATCAGTGGTGAAGCACTTGCCTAGCATGTGTGAGGCTCTGGGTTCCATTTCTAACACCACAAAGGCTCTGGAGTTCACTGGCCTGGCATGGCCTGGGTCATGACTCTCGTTTACTTTCGGGATGACTTTGGACAAGTCTCAGTGTTTTGTTTGTTTGTTTCCAGTAGTAGGACTTGAACTCAGGAGCTCATGCTTCAAGGCAGGCACTCTACCACTTGAGCCACTCTGTCAACCCAAGAAGCCGCAGTTTCCCTCCTTTGTTTAATGGAGATAAGATGGTGTCCAGGGCACAGGGCTGTCCATTCATTCAGGGGACATGTGCTGAGTGCGTCTGTGTGCACAGCAGACCCTGGGCTGCCCTTGGGAAGCTGACCATCTTGGGTTGGTGAGAGTTGTTCCCAACCCAGTCTCCCACTTTGTCCTCCTCAGTGCCACACCATGCTCTCCCTCTTGTTTTTTTGGAGCTCAATTTCTTGTTCATTCTGGCTCCTCAACACCTTATCCTCTAAAATATTTTTCTCTTCTTGCAACTAGAAGTTGAACAGCTTCCTGGAGCCAGGTAAGGAGGGGCAGCCAGGTTAGGGTTGGATAAGATATAGTCCCAGCATGGGAAAGAACCTGGTACTGTTAACCACAATGGAATCTATCCCAGGAAAACGAGGAAGTAGTCTGCAGCTAGGACTGTCCTGTATGGTCGCAGCAAGGGCCTCTGGCTCAGTGCTGTGGGGCAAACACCTCTCTGTGTTTTAGGGCCTGTGCTCTTCTGGGTGGTCTTGGTGCTGCTGGTGGTGGTTGGCTTCAGCTCCTTCCTTTTGTGTTACTGGAGGGCCTGTAGGAAGCGGATTGGACAAAGTAAGTACATCTGGGGAGGATGACAGATCTGTGCCAGCCTGGCCGGGACCCCTGCCCTGCTTGCTCCTGCTCTCTGCCTCTGGCCCCCAGTCCTCCTTCTGGTATCTTTGCAGAGCTCCACCTGTGCTATCCGGCCCAGACCTTCCGTCCCAAGCTGGAGCGTATGGGTAAGTGTCCAGCAGCCCAAGGGGGCCTGGGCCCTGGGTCTGAGCTCAGGAGATTGAACTCCTAGCTCAGCCCCAGCCTCTCCCACAAGTTACTCTCCTTTCTCCCCCCACCTCATCTGTACCAGGAAGGTAATGTGGGTGAAAGAGGTGTGGCCGTTTGGGATGGAACTGTGCAGTGCCAGGTAGAGAGCCGGCAGGAGGTTCCAACACTGCTCTATCTTCATTCTTGCCACCCAGTACGGGCATTTCTGTGTCCTTCCCTCCTCTCTGCTTATTCCCTCCCTCCCTCCTGCCTGTTCATCCCTCCCTTCTCCTTCTTTCCTCTTTCTCTCCCTGCCCCCCTCTTGCTCCTCCATCTTTCTCTCTCCCTTCCCACTGTCTGACAAATGAGCCCAGGGCAAAGGGCGAGGAGGCCAGGCTGACAGGTGTGTCACCTGCTCTGTCACCTATGAGCAACACGACTGCGCGAGGGCTGTTTAATGCCTCTGTGACTCAGTTTCCTCCCCTGTAAAATGGGACAGTGGGACCTACTTGGGGAGGTTGTATGTAGTTTAACCCAGTGGGGCCTACGAGAAGTGCCATGGGTAGTGTCGTGCACAAAGCCAGTACCCAGGAAACCGTGGCTGTCTTTTGTTGACAGCCTGGCCTTGTATCTGGGGCCTCCGTTCTCACCAGGAGTCCAGGCCTTCTGAGTCCCAGGTGGATCTGAGCCCGGCTCAGGTCCTTGCTCTCTGCCTGCCTCCAGCCGTCCCTTCCAGGCAGCATTTGGAGCTTCTGACCCTCCCCATGCATCCAGGTGGGCGTCTCTTCCAGTCTTCCCCTAGACCCGGCTGGGGAATGGGCCCTAGCCATCTCATGCCAAGAGCCTTCCGTCCCCTGTACAGCCCATTAGAGGTAGGCCAAGCTCTCCTTAGCACCCACTGTGTGCTGGGCCCTGACATGGGTAATGCCTTGAACCTCACTTTCTGGTTTATATGGCAGCGTCCTGCAGGGCCCTCTTGACAACTCCTGGAGATGGGCTTCATTCCATGGGGAGAGGACAAGGCTCAGAGTGGCAGACCCTGTGGCCCGGCAGCTGCATAGCATCCCCCTGCTCCTTGGGGAGGGGGGATTTGCCCACCCTTGGCTCCTGTTCCTCCCTCCCCCTGCTCTGTCCCACCCCAGGGCCCCTGGCCCCCAGGTGCCCCCAGGACCCTCAGGGACCCTGACAGGGGACTGACTGTTGACTAGGACCCAAAACCACAGCCCACCGCTGCCTGTTTTGAACCGGACGCGTTTCACAAGTGCCCGTGTTCCCTGCCTGAGGGGTGTTTTGAGAGTTTCAAACCTGTTTCCATGAGCTGGCGGACGCTGTGTGTCACTGAAACCAGCATTTGCTTTCTTGACATTTTTCTAGTATTTGAGTTTCCATTGCTGTCAGTTTATTTTTTTTCTCTAAATCTTTGTGAGAACAATTTTGTTACAGAAAGAAAGACACAAAGTCCTTCCCTTAAGAGGCCAGACCTACAAAGATTCAGTGAGACTGAGTGCTGGACTTTCTCTCTCAGACTGTTTCTGGTCCTCTGGCTTCTGGTGGGTCTCTTGAGGTCTGGGTTTCCAGGCCTGAGGTAAAGGAAGAAAGGAGCAGCCATGTGCAGGGTGGGCCTCACGTCAGCAGGGGTGATGATCTGCTCTGGAGCGGTGGGTGGTGAAGGATCTTCATTTGTTTGCTGGCTCATTATTCTTGTCCTAGCTCCCTCTTTTAAACAGATGTCACTGCTTGAAGGCCTAATGGCCGTGTGGGACCTTCACAGGGGAGATCTTATTCCCTGAGTGGCTTGTGATCCAAGAAGCCATGGTCTGTGAGGTGCAGGTGCTCACCACCATCTCCTGGCTTGATTCCATTTAGCTTGGTGTGGCCTTTGTGACGGGCGTTTGAGAAGCACAAGCATGACCTGGTTTTACTCCTGCAGTGGCCTGTGAGCCACATGCCCTGTTGTCCACACAGGCACAGGAAGATGTGCCACATGCTTAAGCAGTAGTTTGGGATGTTGCTGTCATTTTCCCTGGAGTTCACTGAAAAGAGTTTCTGGCCTTCAGTACTTTGACAGTTTGACATTTGGGAACCATCGTTCTTTGCTGTCGGGGGTGGGGGGATGTCCTGTGCTTTGTAGGGCTTCAGCGGTCTGGCAGATGCCAGTTGTATCACCCCTCCCTCAATTGTGACAAGCAAAAATGTCTCCAGGGATTGTCCCAGGGGCCTTGGGTGTATGTGGGGGGAGGAACTACTTCTGGTGAGAACCCCTGGTCTAAATTTCTCTCAGTCCTTCATTTTAACACTTGAATCATTCCCTTAGCTGTTACTACAGGGGGATTTAGGTTGAAAACAATCTTTTTTTGTTCTACATCAATTTCAGACTTACCCAGAAAAGTTGCAAGTACACGGTTCAAAGAACTTGTTTTCCTCCTGAACTGTCTTGAGAGTTAACTTACTGACTCAGTGTCTTCTGTGTGTGTGTGTGCAGTACTGGGGTTTGAACTCAGGGCCTTGTGCTAGGCAGGTGCCCCACCACTTGAGCCACTCCCCCAGCCCTTTTTGGTTTCAGTCATTTTTCAGAGAGGGTCTTGCATTTTTGCTGGGGCTGGCCTCGGACCTCGATCCTCCTACCTATCTGTGTAGTTGAGATGACAGCTGTGCACCACCATGCCTGGCCCTGACTTATAAGCCTCAAATACTTCAGTGTATATTTTACATTAACGGGTGTGTTTTTACACGACTGTAGTAAAACCACATTGATTTGTGACCACCAATCAATTCTCAGGTTTGAGAATTTTAAGAACCTGATCGGGTTCTTCATTTGTTCCAATAACATCGTCTACAGCAGGATAATCCAGTCTTGGTCCCCATGCTGCCTTGGGTCACCCGGTCTCTGGAGTCCCCTGATCTGAGTCAGTTTGCAGACTTTTCCTTTGCTGTCATGGTCTTGACACTGGGAGGATACAGGCGATCGTCTGGAGGATGTCCCTGACTTGAGGTCATTCTGGCATCTCTTTGTGAGTGGGTTCAGTTGTGTGTCTTTGGCTAAAAGATCCCAGAAATGACATGGGACTCTTGTGTGGTGTCCTGCCAGCTCTCCTTTTGTCCCTTCCCTGCACTGTGCACTCGTGTAAGGTTGTGTTGCCCAGACTTCTCTGCTGTGCGGTTTCTCTCTTCCCCCTGGTAATCACCAGCTTTTGAGTGAGGTCTTCTGACACTGTGTCAGTAACCGGTTCTTTACCAGGCTTCCCAGTTCTCCATTTATGTGTTTCTATCTAAGTGGACTCATGGGTGTCTGTTTTGTTCAGTGTGTTGTAATCTGTTATCACCACTGTAACGGGTACTTAGGTCATTGCCCTAGATTAAGTCAGCATGAGCCCCTCAAGCTGGCTCCTGTGTCCTTGTGGCATGTCCCTATCCTTCTGTCCTTTAGGCACTCTTATCCCCTGACTCACTCCTGAACCAGCTGTCCAACTAGCCAGAGCCTAGCTGAAGCTCCATGGGGCTGACCTCCTTCCTCACGGCAGTGGGGAGTCAGAGCCAGAGAGGGTGTGGGACTGAGAGTGACAGCTATGGGGACGGAAGGGACAAAGAGCTTTGAATGGTGCGTCAGCACTCATGCCCTTGCTAAGTGTGGCCTTCTGGGCGGCCTTGGGGTACCATGTACTTGTCCTGGGGACACTCCGTGATTCTGACAAGATCGTGGTTATTCCAAAAAGCAAGGAGACCCATAAATGAGACAAGCGGACTGCAGCCGCAGTTTTAGGGGAAAAGCACTTACGAAATCTGACCTCTGCTCTTGGAGAGATTTGCTTTGGGTATTTATCAAAGTGCTCGCATGGGGGTTGTAACACAGCTGTAGGCAGATGCCAGAACTTTCTGGATTCTGCCTTTGTATCTTTATGCTATTTTGCACTTGTTTCTGAGAGCCTTTCTGCGAGCTCTGTTAGCATGGGGCACTGCAGGGACACATCACGTGTTAGCAGTGTCCTGGGCATCTTCCCTTGGTAATATCTTAATTTGAAAAAATTGTCAGTACAGTCCACTTTCCAGAACAGTTTTAGATTAACAGACACTTCGTGTAAACAGTACAGAGTTCCTGTGTGCCCCACACACGGTTTCTTCTATGTCAGTATTTTATTTTGGCATGGCACACTTGTGACAAGAAATGAACCAACACTGCTCTGTAATTAATTGAACCCCATACTTGATTCAGATTTACGTAGCTTTGCCTAAGGTGCTGGGACCCCTCATCACATTCAGTCATCACACGTCCTCAAGGCCCTCTGCCTCCCTCAGACTTTCCTTGACCTTGGTGACCTTGACAGTGTTCAGGAGTACTGGTCAGACATTTTGCAGCTGTCCCCCTGCTGGGACTTGTCTAAGGTTTTTTTTCTCATGGTGAGATCGGGGTTCAGGGTTTGGGGGGGAGGACCACAGAGAACAGAGACGCCCATCACATCACAGACGTGCTTTCGATGTGACTTGTCACAGGACACTGCACTTTTATTTTATTGTTGTCACAGTGCTGGGGATGGATCCCAGGGGTGCACGCATGCTAGGCAACCACTCTACCACTAGCCACACCTCTAAACTCCATCCATTTTCCAGATAAGAAGACACAGACTCAGAGGAGTGAAGTAATAGTGTGTGGCTTCTTGGCTAAGGAGGCCATGCTCTGGGACTAATCAGCTTCCTCCTTGTTTGACATTTGGCTTGTTTTCAATTTTTTGGTCATTATAAATACCCCTGCTGTGCACAGCCTTTCAGTCCTTTGCAGGGTTACTTCCTGAGGGTGTGGTCCCCCCAAGAGAGTCCACTGGGTCAAAGGGAGTGGGCGTTCAGGGCTCTTTAAAGAGATGGAATCCACTTACAGGGTAGGAACAGTCCATGTGTCATTTCATCCCTTCTGTCACCAAAACCAAGTTTATCACTTCTGTTTCTTTTGTCTTGTTACTTTGTCACACACATCTCCCTCTCACCCCAGTGACTTGGCACCAAATACCAGTTGGCTGTTAGCAAAAGCCAAGATTACTCTCCCAGTGGCTTCCCTGACATCATTAAAGAAAACATGCCTAAGGCCAGTGAGTATCTCTCAAAGTTGTGGCTTGGGTCGTGGTCAGTGGCCACCTCGAGGGAACAAGCCACAACTTCCTGAGGTGACCACCACACTAGGAACAGCAGTTACCAGGATCCGTAAGTGTGCATGTCTGTTACGTTGAGCCCCTGTCCTGGTATCTGATGCAGGTGCTTTTTAGAGGGTCATTCTGGTCCATTTCCTTGCCAGATACTGCACTGCTGGTGGGCTCCCCTGAGAAACCCCAGAGTGCTTCCTGGGGTGACCAAGTCGCACACCATGCTTCACACTGCAACCAGACTGCTGTTTTATTTTGTCTGTTGGTTGAACTGCAGTGAATGTGTCAGCGAGGACTCAGTGCTGGTATTTCCCCAAGCTGCTAAAATCAGAAAGTGTGTTCCAGAGCTGGCACGTGGGCTTTTTTTAGAGGATTTGCCTAGGTGAGAGGCGCACTTGCTAACACGTGCTAGGTCTCTAAGTGGCTTCCTTGGGAGCCCTTAAAGGCTGTGCATCCCTAAAGGATGGTCCTTGCTGGGCCTAGGCTGACTTGCCCTAGGGTGAACTTGATGTGTCTGGGGGCCACCTCCACCTTTCTCAGATGGCCAACGAGCCATTGTTAAATGTCAGGAAGCATACCCCACACACGGTTTCTATTTAACATGAGAGAACACTGCTGTGGGGCCTGGAGAACTAAGATGAGCAGGTAAAGGTTGTGCCCTCAGGATCATGGCATCCTGAGCCTACAGAAGGGTGGCCTGGAGGGAAGGAGGGCAACCAGAGAGCCATTATCCTCCAGGGGCAGGTTGGGCAGGTGCTTCTCCTCAACCAGGCTTTGTGTGTATGTGTTGGGGGCTAGGAGGGGTCCAGGGTGCTGATTGACTTAGTCACTCACAGTGAGAGGGGGCTGGGGAAGATGTGATCCCATCCCATCCGTGGTAACTGGTCCCCACCACTTCCCTCTCCCACTGCGTGTGCAGACATGAGCTTTGGGTGGTGAGCTCCCTGTGCCCAGGGGTGAGCACTGACCCAGAAACCATTCCCTGTCCTCCAGACTAACCACATGACCCTGGGCTGGAGCTCGGTCCTCTCGTGATACCGGGGAGCCACCTGTCAACAGGTGGGGTGGGGTGGGACGGGGCAGGTGACTGCCGGATGCCTCTTGGTGAGGTTCTTGCTCTTTGACTTTTTGCAGATTCCGGACCAAGAAGGAACCCGACAGTAAGTAACCCTCTCTTGCCCCAACTCAGCTTCGTGCCCCCAAGTCTGACTCTTTTCCTGTCAGATCTGTGCTTTCGGGGCTGCTGGGGGAGGACCATCCCCTGGCTGGGGTCTTCAGCAGGGAGCCCCACCCCCCGCAGCAGCCTTCAGCTCCTGGCACAGCCCCAGGGGATTTCCAGAAGGGCTTGCAGGCAGTAATTTGGTTTTGGTCACTTTGGAGCCCACGTGTGGTCAGGAAGTCTGTGTATTTTCTACTTTTCTCTTTTACTGCATGAGTTTCGTTCTCAAAGCTGGACAACAAATGAGTAGCACAAAGGTTTTGAAAGTAGGCTGCCCGGCATTGAGCACTCACTACATGCTAGGCACCTCTTTTTGTGTTTTCTGCAAGCTCTCCCCAGGAGTCTGGACACTCAGGGGTTGGTGCTGTTGTCCGGTTTGGCAGCCCAGGGCAGATCAGGATCTGAGCTCTGCTTTGTGAGACTCCAGAACTGGACACTGGTCCCCTGAGCTGCCTCCTAGTGGGTGATCTGTCTCTCACGGTGAAGCACTCACTGTGTGCCAGGCGCGGAGCTGGGGTCTTTGCAAACACTTTGGCATGCTTACAGCCTCCTGCACAGGGCTGGTGTTCTGGCTCAGGTCTTCATTATGTTTGTTCTGGTGACCTGCCAGTGTCCAGCTTCCTAGGGGCTTTGTAGGGATGGACTAGGACCCTGATCTCGGAGCTGAGGGAGGGGTGTGGGGTGCAAGATAAGGCACTTGTACATGGTCTGGTGCCAGGTGCGTATGGTTCACTCACTATTTTCCATTTATCAAATTTTCTGTTGCTTCTTTTAATTCAGACATTCCTACACTAACACAAGTTCCTGTTCTTTAATTTTTAAGCATAATATACAGAACCACAAACAAATTCAATTTAATATTATGTGTGCTCCCATTCAGTATGCTTGGATTTGTTGCTGTTACAATACCGAGAAATTTCATGAACACAAGAAATGGTTTATACTCATTTATATAATGAGTATAATGATTTATATAAGATAATCAAATGTGACTGCTCCGGGAGCCCGTGTATTGTAGTAGCTTGTTTCAAAATGCAATCTTTTGGCCTTGAAATTATTATAAAAGAATATTCAAGATTGCAAAGATAAGCTGTCTGAATTACTCAGCCTCGCTCCTTTTGAAGACCAAAGGTGAATTACACTTTAGGATAATTCACGAGACCACTTTTCCTTCACATTTATCCATAAAAGTAAAAAACAAACAACAATCCCTTAAAGACATGGCTATTTTGGGAATACATTAGTGTACTCTAAAAGCCTTCTGTCCCAGGAGGCTAGGGTGGAGGAGCTGGGAGTGGGGATACTCCAGGAGATGGTGGGCCTGGAGGGGGTGCCAGCATTTAGATTTTGGCCAGACAATTAGCAACTGTATGACCTGGGCAAGCTACTCTACTTCTGTGTGCCTTGGTTTCCTCATCTGTAAAAGGGCAGGTGCTAATATTATACCTTCCTAGGGTAGCTGTGAGAATCAACATGTCGAGGCTGGGTACTTTGCTGACTGCCGTCATCATTTAGCACAAATTAAAAGCATTGGAATTTGGCTCAAGAGGTAGAATGCCTGCCTAGCAAGAGTGAGGACCTGGGTACAAACCCCAGTGCCATCAAAAAAAAAAAAAAAAAAAGGATGTGCTTGAAGACTACACATAGGTGTCTCATGTTGTCAAGGCTGAGAAGCCCAGTGTAGCTTGTGGCAGCCTTTAAAAGCAGAGAGGGGACTCCCTGGGGCTGTAGGGATGAAGAAAAGGGGACTTTCTCATTCAGAGGTTTGGGGACTTGGGGCACCCTGTCCCAGCACCCATCCCTTCTGCAGCAGCCAAGAAGTGTGTCAGTGTCAGAGCCGGGAGCAGAAGTGCTGAGTGTCGTGAGACCCCCATCTCTGGAGATGTGTGCCCATGTGGGGGCGTCCTGCCCAGAGAGCCTGCCACTGTTGGATGACAGCCCGGCCACAGGCCCCTTGGCCCCTAGGGACCCTCCTGAGCCCCGGGTGTCCACAGAGCACACTAATAACAGGATCGGTGAGTAGGCCTGTTTGAGGGGTGTTGCTGTGGCCAAGGAGGGAGGGGGAGATGGGTGCTGGGCCCTGGATGGGACCCAGAGGCCCTGGGGGACCCATGTGGCTCATTCCGCCTCTGCCCTAAGTTAGGCTTCTATTAAGGCAGGGTGGCGGTGGGAGTGTGTCACGGGGCCACTGGGAGAATGGCGTGCTAGGGTCTACTAGTATTGAAGAGAAGTGAATGCCCTTCCAGCCCCCAACACAGAGCACCTGAGGGGACCGGAGGGAGATATACTAGTGACAATAAGGCCTGCCACTTGTCTGGCAGATCTCTTCATGTCTGTCACACCATCTTCCAGGGATGATGTCCTTTTCCCCATTTTACAATGGTGGAAACTGAGGCTCAGAGAGGTGAGGTGATTTTTGCTGTCACACTGCTATGAAGCAGCACAGTGCAACGCAATCCCATGTCTGCTGGGCTCTGAGGCCCTGATTTGTCCACACCACCAAGGCCTGCAGGAGCATAGGGGTCCAGGAGCCCAGCACTTCCCATCTCAGCTGCCCTCCAGCTTGGACAAACATTCTGCTGTGGCTCCCATGGGCTCTGCCTCCTCTCTCACTTACTACCACCATGGCACACAAGGGCATTTCCTACAGAATCTATACCTGCTCATATGCCATCCCTGCTTAAACCCCAGCTGCCCCCATCACCCTCAAGATGAAGCCCCAGATTCTGGGTGTGGCACTCCAGGCTGATCACAGCTGGCTCCTCCCCACCAGACTCAACCTACCCAGGTACATCTGTCTGCTCTGTCCTTACGGGCAGTTTCTTGCATTTTTAGGTTCCTCTGTGGGACCTGCTTCTTCACCTTAGAGCAACCAACTCCCCTCCCTTGAGCCTAGCTAATTCCTGATGAATCAGTAGACCTGGCCTTCCTTGCCCTCCCCCACTCTCTTGAGTAGGCCAGATCTGCTATGCATCCTGAGATCCCAGATTCCCTCTCCTACCTACCTAGTGTCCCTGGCCCCTCATTGTCCCCAGCCGTCAGCAGTATGGCCTTCCCCAGATCCATCTGGCTTCAGGCTCCCTGAGGCAGGGCTTCGGTGGGCCCCATCTTCTTGTCTGGAAAGTTTGCAGGCCCTCAAGAGAGTGGAGGGGCATTGGTAATTGTTCTGAGTATAACATATCTATGGCAGACGCTGGTGGTGGGAACTCTTCAGGATAGTCTTTGTCTTGAATGAACTTCTGCAATTGTAACTTTCAGTAAATTTTATTTGAAAAGAATGCATTTGGAGAAATACTGCCAAAGGCTCCTTCAGATTTCCTGAGAAGTCCTAATTGGAGTGTTTGAGTCCAGGCTGAGTACAGTGCCCGGAACTCTGGGTGGGGCTGCCTGAGCATGTGGGAGGAGGGAGACGGTACCGGCTTGGCACAGGGCTCTAAGTGGGCAGCCTTCCTCAGATGCTGTGCCCGTGTGCATGGTGGTGATGGTGCTGCAGGGTGCAGAGGGGAAGCCTTGGAGATCCTCTAGGACACAGATTCCCCCTTGTCCTCCTAACGCCACACTGGAGGAGCAGCTTCTTTTCCAGTTCACAAGGACCAAACTCCCCTCTTTGGCCCCCACCTGACCAAGATACCGCCCTTGGAGCTTTGGGTGGGGCAGGAAGTCCAAGTAGTCCACTGCTGGGGTGGGCAGCTGATGGGGGCAGAGCTAGAGGAGTCAGAACCCATGGAATGTGAGGGGCGGTGGCTTGGACTTGGCTTTGGATTTTTCTGCCCAAGCAAAGCCCATCCTCCCCCCATGCAAATCCCCTACCTCTCATCTGTCGTCTGCCCTTCTGGCTTCTGTCATGGCCTAGAGACCCCTTGCTCACGACCTCTGGCCCAAATCTTTTGCTCAGTCCCTGTGGTCAGGGTTCCCAGGGCCAGGGGCCCACAAACCTTGACAGAGGGTGTGCTCTGGGGCCTGAAGCTCTCCTGAGCTGGTGTTATGCAATGATGCCAGGGCCCTTGCGAATCCTTTTGGGGTTCCTGAACCTGAGGGGTATAACTGGGTAACCCAGTGAGGCAGGAGTCCCTGAGCCCCCTACCCCACCCCTGCCCCATCTCAAGTTCTCTCTTGAACTTCCTCATTTGGTCTCCAGAGCCCAGGGCAGGACAGCTGAGAGCCAGACCCTGGTCTGAGCCTGAGGCCAGTAGCACTGGGCCCTGGCCCAAGTCCAGCCTTCCCCCGCCCCTTCCCAGACAGTTTAGCTTCCTGGGCCTCCGTGTCTCCCTCTATAGAGAGGCCATGCTGAAAGCCCTCTGTATCAGCCTGTACTGAGGACCACAAGGGTCATGCCTCCTTAGCCAGGGCTGGGTCATCCATTCCAGTAACACTTACCCAGCACCCACGGTGTTCAAAGGCTGTGAGGCTACTCTGAAACACTGCCCAAGGGGGTCCCTGGCCACTGTTGCTTATGAGTAGGGCCAAGGCCTCTGCAGGATGCAACCTGCTGGTTGGGTGTGCCTGACTGAGGCTCCTGAGACATGGGATTTGCAGTCCTAGGCAGACAGGGACAAGTTGGTCACCCAGGTGACAGCCTTAGGCACATAGATGAAGTCAAAAGAGAAGCCAGGTGGGTGAGAGTTTCTTTGGGGATTTTTCCGAGCCACCTGGTGACCTTGGGGAGGTCATTTGACCTTGCTGGGCTTCAGGTTCTTGTCTGTGCAGTGGATAGTGATGGGCTTGTTCTTGTAGGAGTGCTGGGCCTCAGAGCTGGTGCTGGGAACCGTCTAGTGCGTGCTTGGCTCCTCTGTGTCTCTGCTACCATTGCTGTCATCTTGGTGCTGCTGGCCTTTCTCAGTGGCTTACTGCATTCTCTCCTTCCCTGCCTGCTCCAGGACACATGCCTAGGGTCACAGTGCCTTCCTCGAGTACCAGGTGGGCCAGTTCTGTGGAACAGAGAAGCTGTGTCATTTATCTGAAGTCACACAGCAGGCGTGGTGGAAGTAGCCCGTGGTCCCTCCTTGCCACCTCATTCCCATCCTAGGGCCCTGATTTCCCCACCTCACCCATCTTCTTGCCTTGCAGAGAAAATCTACATTATGAAGGCTGACACGGTGATTGTGGGAACCGTGAAGACCGAGGTACCTGAGGGCCGGGCTCTCGCGGGGCCCACAGGGCCTGAGTTGGAGGCGGAGCTAGAGGTGGACCATGTCCCTCACTACCCAGAGCAGGAGACGGAACCACCTCTGGGCAGCTGTGATGTCATGTTCTCCGTGGAGGAAGAAGGGAAGCAGGACCCCCAGCCCTCAACCGCCTCTGGGAAGTGAGGCCCAATCTGGGACCGGAGGGGAGCTGCATAGCTCTTGAGGTCAGGGTGGCACTGGTGACACTGAGCTGGGGACAGAGGCCCATGGGGCTTGAACTGAGGCTCCAGCATCTAGTGGTGGACCAAGACAGGGCATCTTGCCTGATCCTCCAGCTCAGAGCACTGGCCCCAGAGCCCAGCACTGGGCATTCGGTCAGGGCCAGTGCCCCGAGGGAAAAGTCCAAGCTGGTTCCAAGCCCCCTGCCCACAACCCTGTCTGTCCTCTCTCCCTGGATCTCAGAGGTGACACCCACCAGGCCTTGCTGGCATGCCGCCAGCCCCCAGTTACTGTAAACATGTCTACAGTGGGCACAGAGCCAGCTCCTGTGGCTTCTCTTGAGTCAAAAGGGAAGTCGAGGAATAGAGCATTCATTGTCAACGGCACCACCCAGGCTGCAGCACTGCACGGCCCTTGGCACCCATCTAGGCCCAGCCTGGTCCCAGCTCTGCTTGGGCTCAGTGGGAGCCTACAGGTGCTACCCACCTTCCCTGATCTGCAGCCCCCATGCGGACCAGGTTTACTGGTCTCTGAATGTCCTCACCAGTCCCAGGCATGGGGGGCATTTGGGGACTTAGGTGTCTACAGACCCTCAGCAGCTTGGCAGCCCTGCTGGGTGAAGACCCTGCCCACCCAGTGATAATGGAGACATGCCTGTTCTGCTCTGTCAGGGGTTTTTTTCCCCCCCACACAAAAATGGGGGACTACAGCTCTTTCTGGGGTCTTCACCTGCTGTGGTGCCACTTGGAATGAAGAGACATTGTCCCTAGATCTGCCAGCTTGCAAAGCCACCAGCACCAGCCCTGCTATCTGGCTCCCGGCACTCTAACCCATAGCATTTGGATGTTGGAAAGGCCCGGGCTCACAGAAACATTCTGCCTTCTTCTGCACCCTAGGGAAGGGTGCTGGTGGTTCCATCTGGGTGTTAGGACTTCTGCATTTCACACTAAGGGCTAAAGCTGCCCAACTCCCAGCCTCCAACCTCTTTTAACAACAAGTGGCCGATGACACACCCTGCAGCCCAGGGACTCCTGGACTTACCCTTTGGGAGCTGTTTACTCAGCAGCCACTCCCTCTCTGGAGGAAGCTGGTTCTGGGTCAGGAATCACGAGGGTAGGTTCTGAAACCACTCAGATGTTTTGGGGGAAAGTTGGAGTGGCTGGGGCATTGCTAGAAGTGGTTACACCAGGACCTGGACATTGGCCAGAAGGACATTGAGTGTGTCGGGGGATCTTGGTCTAGTGGTAATGCTGATGATGTTAGTGGGCATGCCTGGTGCCATCCACAGTGCTGTCATAGGAGCTTGTGACCGTCACACTCCTTCCTTGACTGGAAGATACTGCCACAGAACAAAAAAAAATTTTTTTTAACTCCTGATCCTCCTACCTCTACTTCCAGAGTGCTGGGGTTACAGGCATCGCTGCCACAACGCAGCTGCTATACATTTTAACAAAATTTTTAATACTCTTAAAAAATTCCTTAAAAATGAAGAATTTTGATGCTAAGAGCTAAGAAGGATCATGGAAATAGTGAGAACCTCTGAGCAGAAAGGCCTGAGGGCTGTCCTTCCCTAGGGCAGGGATTCCCTCTGTGTCCCTGACACCTGTGGTCAAGGGCAGGAGCTCATGACCCGCTGAACAGCCGGAGTTCTTCCTTATCCATCCAGGCAGGTTCTTCCACCATGTAACATCTCCTCTCTGGCCCAAAGCCTGCCCTCGGAGGAGACTCAGAATAAAACCACTGTGGTTTTAAGATGGTGGACAGAATCTTGGGCCTATCCGGGGCCTTCATCCCTCTGGGCTGAGCTGAGCAGTCCCACCTCTCTGACACAGGGAATCCAGAGAGCAGTGAATACCCAAGCCTTGGGAGGCAGGAGAGGACTGGGAGTCTATGTGAGTATTGGATGTCTACACCGGAGTGGCAGGCCCCCACCACCACCCTGAGCACAGCTCAGGGCCACAATGGAGTCTTCTCCCCCTCCACCACCTGGCTCCTGTGTGGGGTGGAGACCAAGGATTGTGGACAGACCCAGCCACCCTATCCCTGGGATTCTAGGCCTCCTCCTCAGCCTGGCCCCTGCACCAGCCACTGCCTGTCTTGTGACCCAGCCAGGACCCAGGGGCTCTGGCTCTTGCATTGTGCAGGAGGGCAGATGGACTGGCCACTGCTCCTCAGAAGAGCAATTCCCAGGCTGTAAAGACACACCTCTTCCCGAACAGTCACAGGCAGGGAGCAACAGCACATGATCATATTCTTTTCTTTGAAGCTTTCGCCTTTAAAGAAAAACCAGTTTCCCAAAACAGTTTTGGAGGTGTAAACTATTCTATATCCCTAAAATGGAACCAAAGGACTGACTCCTGAGAGCATCTCAGCCTTCCCTGCCCCCAACAGAGAGTCCTGAAGACCCAGGTCTGGTCATAATTGTCTGTGCTTACCAGCACTGATGTGTTAAGACAAGTAGACATAAAACTGCAGGGATGAGGGGCAGCTCTCCATAGTTCTTCACAGGTCTTCTCTCCAGCAGATGTGCTCAGATCCAAGTTCTAGTCCCAGCTCTGCCATTTACCAGCACGCCATCTTGGTTATGTTCTGTGATCTCTCTGAGGTCATTTCCAGTTGCTATATCAGAACACCTGAGACTGGAAAATTTGTAAAGAAAGGAGTTTTTTTCTGGCTTCCAGTTCTAGTAGCCAGGAAGTCCAAGATTGGGTGACTATCACTCTTGATTGGTGCTTGGTTTCAAATCTGCCCTCTACCCTAAAGCCTGTTTTTGCTTATTAAGGTTAACCTGGGATTTGGGGCTACTGTGGGCACCTGCCCTTAGGGGGTCAAGTTGCTGTGGGATCTGCAACAATGGCCAGGGATCCTCTTGCTGTGTGAGGTGTCCAGGGAACCGTTCAAATCAGTCTTAAGACTGCCTATTTGTTAAAACAAAGTCTGGGTATGTTTGTGAAGTCTGTGGTCCCTCTGAAGAGAACATTCCTGGTTCTAATACACTCCAGACTGCATTGTATCACTGCTTGAGATCTTTCCTCAGTTGAAGAGGAGCCTCCATGGACTAGTGGAGTGGCCCAAGTGGGAGAGGGCCTGCCTAGCAAGTGTGAGGCCCTGAGTTCAAACTTTACTACTGCCAAAAAAAAAAAAAAAAAAACCTCCTTCCCTCTCTCCCCAAAACACCCACCATAAGCCTGGTCCAGGTCTAGCTGCAGAGGATTCCTGGCATACAGAAAGGCTTTTCTCAGGGCGCTGGGTCCAGCAGATATGACAGACAAAGGCTCTGTGAGTTGGGTGGTGCTATGTGCTACAGGAAGCCCTGGTCTGGGCTCTGGGGCTGGATATGGCTGGGAGGGGCTGGGGAAGGCTTCTCAAGGAGGTGGCCCCTGAGCTCCACCTATGTGAAACAAGTCAGCAAAGTCGGGAAGGCAGGGAACAGTCAGGCAAGGGTCCCGATGTTGGAAAGTCCTCCACTTTGAGGTCTAGGAAAAAGATTGCTGTAAAGGAAGCACGGTGAGCAAGGTGGGGAGAGAAAAGAGGCCTGGACATGGCGGGCCTTAGATTTTCTCACAAGAACACCACTCCACATTTGTCTATTGTCTTCCTGATAGAACAATAAACATCCTGGTACTATCTCAGCCATGAGAGAGAAAGGCCAAACCATGGGTGTCAAAGGTCACCTATTTCAGAGGGAAGCTGGGAATGCCAGCACTGGCTCATAGCCAGGAAGCAGTTGGATGTGTTTTCTCAGAAAGGCAGAGAACTAAGACAACATTCCTGGTTACTGTTGTTGCCACAGATCCAGCTTACTGTTACCGCAGAGGGTGAGGAAGCAGTCAGTCTAGGTTTCTCTTCCCTCAGGTGGCTTCCAGGCAAGCAAAAACCAAACTGAAAAGTCCTGGGGAGGCTGGAGGCCTTGGTTTGTTTTGGCGCTTGCTTCTCAAGGCTGCAGGCCTTGGTCATGCTAGCATCAGAGTCAGCAGTGGCCGGCACTTTCCTCCTTAGGAGGCCAGCCCTGGGAGAGCAGTTAGGTGAGCCTAACTGTTGTGGCTGTCTCTTGCTAAGTAATAAGTCATCTCAAAATGTAGTGGTTTAAAACAACAACAGTTATGTGTTTTGCTCGCCGTTCTGGCTTGGCAGGGAAGGCTCGCCTCTGTCGACATAGCACTGCTCTGTGGAGACCCCACTTCCAAGGGGGCTGGCAAGGGGTGCCTGGCATCAGCTCCTCTCCATGGAGCAGCTTGTTAACTAGGGTTCCAGGACATAGAGCCCCAGAGGCAAATGGAAGAAGGTACCAGGGTCTTCAATCTTGGGGGAACGGGCAGAGCATCATTTTTGCCATCCTTTATGGGCCAAACTGACACAAGATCAAGGGGACCTTGACACAGGTCCCTCACTTTGACAGGAAGAGTATCAAGGAATTTTGAGACCATACCAGTGCAAGGCATGGTGCTTACCCTTCACATCTTGTCTTGTTTCTTCCTCTGATTTTACCACTGTTTCTCCAGTTGACTCAAGGGACGCTAAGTAAGCAGAGGTCGCCTGGCTGGCATTGGGATGCAAGGGTTTCTGTCTCCAGAGTTTGTGCTCTGGACCATGAGGCTGGCTGGAGCACTCAGCACCCAGGCAGTCAGAAGGTGACAGATCTGGGATTTGAACCCACAGCTGATTCAAAAACATTGGAGGCACCTTCTAGTTTTTAGAGAGGGAAACTGATGTTCCCAGAGGTCTTGTCTGGCCTGCCCTAAGGAGGGGGCAGGAGCTGGCACCTTCTAGGGCAGGATGGGGCCCCTGGGGCTGCACAGTCTGGTCAGGAAGTCACAGAGCTGTGGGCAGGTTGTGCAAGAGCAGATTGTTGCGGGGACGTTGTTTTTTTTTTTTTTTTTTTAACTGCAATTGTACTTCACTCAGGAAATTCCCATGGCTTCAGCATGTTGCTATGAGGTCCCCACTCTGGGTAGGAGACCCTT